ATATATATATATATGTATATATATATATATATATATATATATATATATATATATATATATATATATATATATATATATATATATATATATATATTGATGAAAACCACAGCACGTTCGGCGCTAGTTAACTTCCAGTTTAATTTTTCGATTTTTCTTATTGTTGATCGTAAATCATTTTCAAGTTTCTTTAGTTCCTTAACAGTTAGAAAAATCGAAAAGTTAAATTGAAGTTAACTAACGCCGAACATGCTGTGATTTTCATCATTAATTGCTTTTCTGACAGTCTTAATCTTATATATATATATATATATATATTTTTACAATATTCTATAAATTCTACCGAATGTTTGGCGTTAATATCTTTGTAGTTCGTTTTTTCGATTTTTCTCACTAAAGTTTTTTGGTGAACGTTTAGTTTATTAAAATTCAAAATAAACTTATTTTTCGAATTCATGCTGCAAATAAGGCCATATTTCGATTCCGAATGAATCATCGTCAGTGCTCCTTGCTGTATATATAGAGAAATATTGACTTTGTCAAGATTAACTTTGACGTTGTAAAAATTAACTTTGGTGTTGTAAAATTGAACTTTGATGCGAATTAGGTGTCAGGTTACTAGCATCGTAAATAGTGACAAAAAAACTAGCATCGTAAATAGTGACAAAGAAACTAGCATCGTAAATAGTGACAAAGATACTAGCATCGTAAATAGTGACAAAGAACTAGCATCGTAAATAGTGACAAAGACAAAGAAGTAATAAAAACTAGCATCGTAAATAGTGACAAAGAAGAATATGATGCTATCGATGAAGAAAAGGAGACCAAAGAAGATGACCAGCCAATTAAGAAACCTATATATATATATATATATATATATATATATATATATATATATATATATATATATATATATATATACCGTAAAATTGTTATATACATATATCATATAATATATATTGAATGTACATTAACATTTATTATCGCAGATCCTGAATCGCATACATTAGGACTGCAAACAGAAAAACGACCAGAAACTGACTCACAATATTCACTTTTGAGGAAAGTTTATATTTTTGTTACATTTTATCTGACTTGTTGGCTCGTAACCACTTTATTTTTTACAAGATTCTACAAGATTTTTCGTCCGCTCGGAGCAAAATTTGAAGATATGTCGTTAGTTCATTCAAAGAATAAATGCAGTCAATTTGGTTTTCCAAGAAACTTTTATCTTAATACCTTCCAAAACCACAACCTTTTTTATAAAACAATGTTTTACAATTCGGTTTATGATAATTTTTATTTTGAAACAAAAGTTTGAACATATAATACAAATAAGACATCATCTATTCATGTATTGTTGTTCTTTACGTACGGCACGAATAAATAATACCACATTATTAAGCCGACAATCGTTGGCATGAAAATCAATGCTAGGATTATAAACATTTCTTCGAAGCCAATAACTGTTTGAAAATTAATTTCAATGTTATTAAAATGATTGTTTGAATGTTTTGCAATATAATTCCATTAGAATGCAAATAATTGCTTTGAAAATAAATGATAATTAAGTTGTAAAATTAATGACAGTCGAGTTTAATTTCTTCATTTTATTTTATTCATTTTTTTAGAAACCGATTCAATTTTGGTTTTCTGTGTTTATGAAAAATTCAAACGTCATGCATGTGGTTTTAACTATTAATTTTATGACTATTTATCATTGCGTCTTGGATTTTGACAGAGCAGAAAATTTTAAAGGGAGGACAAAACGAAAACTTTGAGAGTTGAAAACAAAACAAAAAACGAATACGAAATTGTTTTTAAAATCAATCATGTAAATTTCTTCATTTAAATGTTTTCTTTTATTCTATTTCCAAAAAAACCTCAGGTGTTCACTCTATAATTTTTATTTTCTTGACCATAAAAATTGATTTTATCAATTTAAAAAAAAGGAACAAAGCGTTTGCAGTGGCGGATCTAGACAACTTTGATGGGAAGGGGCTAGGATTTTTGAAAATATTTGAATATTTGACGACCGGGGGAAGGAAATTTAAAAAAAGTCGATGACCGGGTAGAAAAATTGTACTTAAAATATGAATAATTTTTTCAACCCAAATCTTTACACGTATTTATCATTTCACCGGTGGCGTAGCCATAAATTTTATAAATGGTGAGAGCTTACATTAGTTTGAAAAAACTTGTATGACCACCTTTTCTTTTAGTTTTTTATTAAATTTTTAAAACATTTGCCATTTAAACCGTTTTATGTTTAAATTTACTTAAGTTTTATTATAGTTTTCAGTGCCAATTTTTAAAATTTTACGTAAGGTTTTTTTTTTACTTTAACCCTATGCCAAATTTAAAAATAAAAAAATTTGACTTGTTTGAATTGAAAAATTGTTATTATTTTTGAAATAATTTAAATTTTTTAATTGACTATTTGCTTCCTTTTTAAAGACATTAAAAAATAAGTTCAAAACTTAACAAAAGTCGTCTTTTGTTGTCTAAAAATGAAGATGGAACGGACTCAACCGGATGAAATGTGGTAACTAGTGTTTAAATGTTATGATAATCTATCCAAAATTTTTAAGATGTATAAGTATTTGTGCAAACTTCATAACTCTTTGGCAATGTTGCATTCAAATGGAATTATACGTTTTTCTTACGCCTTTTAACTTCTGTCGAAATTTTGACCGTGGCGCAAGTTTCGTATCTAAATATAATATTGCACGTGTATAACCCTGGAAAATAAACCGCAATTGTTTTGTTATGTTTTGATTTAATAAGATCTTCATAAGGATGATTCCAGAAATAATCAAAATCCAGTTTTTTAGAGTTGAGTTGGGTTTCAGCTAAATAAACGTTGCAAGTTAAATTTTGTCCGTATTTTATTGAGCTATCTTTTTCTATTCCAATAATGCTTATCTTCTGTACACATTCTTAAAGTTTATTAAAAAATTTCATTTTTATAATATTCTAATAAGATGATCAAAATCAAGCTAACGAAATTTTATGAAAACTTCTTGAATAACATCTTTATCATTTTGATCGTAGCATTTATAAACCCCAGCTGTTTGGAGGGTGAAATTTTTTATAACTAATTTTATTCCTAACCTTAAAATTTCAAAATGATAAACTTTGAATTTGATATTTGTGAAACATTGATAAGATTTTGTATTGCAATATCCAATCTCGTGTTTGTCATTCCAAATAAAATATAAAAGACGATGTTTCGTCGTGTTTACTCCACATGTCCATATTAAATGAGAATTCTTCGACACGCAGAATAATGCTGAAAGAATTATGTTGACGTTGAATTCATTGTGATATATTAACAGCCAATCATTTTTACTGGAGTATATAGTTGAAAAGAGCCACAGACACCCCGCAGTAGACATTTTACATAATGTTTTGTTATTTATCCGAAAAGAATAGTGACGCAGTGCATCGAACCACCGAATATTATTTTTTAGTAAAACATATTTTTTTATTTTTATTATTGAAAAAATAATTTAAAAAATTGTTTTTTGTGACGCATATCATATTGCCAAAATTTTAAACAATTATTAATTTTTTTGAATTGATAAAAATAAAATGTTTAAAATTTTCCTTCAAATATTATTAGTTGGTTTTGTATTTTCACGTTTCATTAGATAAGCACGACAAACCTTGTAAAACGGTACAAAATTAAAAAACCAATGAATTGATGAACAGCTGGTTAATTTTTTAAAACTTCTAATTAAATTAATTAAATAATAAAATTAATTTAATTTCTGTTTAATTTTTTTAGTTGTTTCTTTAAAATTATTTTACGCCACCAAGTTTGAATTTTTGTAGCTGACTCATTTCGGAACATTAACATATTTCTTTTTTCTATGTAAACTTTGGTTTCGAGACTACGTTGCAAGAGGATTTTAATAAATTGATTTTTTGAAATTGTGAAGCGATTTTTAAAACTATTTATCTTATTTTCATCCACGGAATTTTCAATCATCACATTTTTCATTTCTTTTTCCAAATTTGAGATTTCGTTATTATATTTATATTTTATGTCTTCAAGAGATCGTCTAGCTTTGAATTTCATACGTCTCAGTTCATATTCTTTTTCCCAATTTGCATGCTGCCATAGTTTATTTCCCATCGTTGAACTGATGCGGTTAATTTTTTTTCTCGTAACAAAGTTTGCTTCTTCTGCCAATCTGGAAAATAGTTCTTGTTCTGTTATTCTGTTTATATTCTCACTCAACACCTTTTGGGTTGTATCAGCAATAAGTTTCAAATTTCTAATAGCTTCATTTAACGCTTTAATTTTTTGTTCCTGTTCAGCATTTATGATTTTTCTTTCATCGCTTAAAACACAAATTAAATTGGAATAATGCTTCAAACGGTGGTGACTACTTTTGATGTACAATCGTCTGCCGAATTCCTCGATAGGACTTAAATGATATTTGTGACTATAAATATTTACAAGTTTGTTAAGTTCTTTTAAAAAAAAATTCCCAATGTCGTTTTTTATCTCTGATGCAAAAATAAAATTTTCAAAGTTATACATTTTATTTAAACATCTCAAAATATTTTTGCAAATTTGAGTCAACTTCGGTCTCGTCAGGCCAGAACTACCACGCAAGGCTTCTAAATTTTGAAATGATTTATCAAAATTTGTGTCTTGTAAGCGGTTATAAAAAGAAGTGTAGATGTCGAATTTTTTGAAAAGCACTTCTGGATTGTTGAAATTTAAGTTGTTAATAAAATCATCTTGAGTAAATGAATTCTCTTCCTTGAAAATATCAGCTATCAAATCTTTATCATCATTTTCTTCTATATTATCAAACAAAGAACATTTTTCCACTGAAAAAATTTCTAAGCTATAGCTTTTTTTGTTTTTGAGAGAAAATTTTAAATTAGTTTTAAAAAGTTCTCTGCTGCACTTTATTAGATCTTCATATTCACTTGAACTGTCGTTAATACAAAATATTTCACTCTTTGGTAAAATGTTGTCAGGTTTATCTAAAGAAAGAACTTTATAGAAACTTGCCGAATATGTGTAAATTTCATCGAGTTCCTTCAGCAAGTTTTTCAATTCGCCCTCATCTATGCAGTCTTTAATTTTTTTTAAATTTGTTTTTAAGCTACAAATTAAAGTGACGTTTTTAATGGCATTATTCAAACTGTTTAAAACTTTTTCACCTAATGGACTAATAGAGGAAGAATCAAAATTATTTAAAACGAATGTCGCTTTCTTTTCGATAAATTGATTCAAATTTGCTTTTCTCAAAAAATTTTTCGTAACTGTTTCTTTTTTAACAAACATTTTATTTAAATATTCAAGCAATTATTTCAAAACCGACAAATAAATTTATTAGACAGTTAATAAATTATATGATGACGCTTTCAAAAAGCAATGTTTACATAGATTTAAAATTATCTGTCATTACCGATTGAAAATTTTCTTTGTTTTGGCTTCTAATTTGGTACCTCAGTGATTTTTTATTTTTCTTAACAACATAGTTCCGCCACCAATTTTGAATTTTCACAGTAGCATTTTCTTTATTTATAATTTCCATTTGATGCTTGCATGTCGACCAAAAAATGTCTTTATTTTCATTAATTATTTTCACAAACTCATTTTGTTTGGTTTTGTAAAGGTATGATATGTCTGTATTTATATCATCAAAGTTTGAAATTTCTTGTTTAATCTGATTCTCGTATATAGCCATTTCGTTTTTGTATTTGCTATGTAAGGCAATAATTTCTGTTTTTAATTTATTTTTCACGTGATGCAAATTTTTTTCACTCTGCCAGTTTTCAACTTGAAGTTTTGCATAGGTTTTTTTAAAAGTACCTTTTTGAAAAGTGTCTTTTACTTTTTGTAATTTAAGATTAATTAAGCTAGTGGAAGAATCGTCATCTTCTTTAGCTCTAGCGACCCATTCGACAAATAGCTTTTGGGCTATGGAAGCGTCAAGCTTCAATTTTTTAATGTGGGTGTTATAAACTTCTAATTCTTCATTTCTTAATTTAAGTATACGTTTTTTTTCGTCGGCCAACAAATCATAAATTTTAGAATAATGATCTAATCGGTTACAAGAACTTTTAATATAGAGTTTACGAGCAAAATCTTCCACAATATCAAATGAAGAATTATGCTCAACGCACTGACGTAGTGTTTTTAGTTCGTCCAGAAGTAACTGCTTATGTTTGTCGATTACGTTATTTTCGGCTAATATGTGAGCTACATAGGTTGGATTATTTGAAAAATTTTTATATAAAAACTTACACGATTTTTCAAATTCGTGAAAACCATATCCATTTGACTTGCAACGTTGCATTTGCGTTTGATAGGAGTTTATGGTTGAAGGAATCCGTGGAGAAAACCATTTGTTAACCTGATTAATCATTTGATTCACTGTATCCGGAGAATTGCTTTTTATTGCTAAATCAACGGTTTTCAAAAATGTGTCTTCTTCCTCATTGGTTTTTTCTGAACAAAACACTTCGGAATCATTTAAGTTTAGTAATTCTAGTTCCTGGCTATTGTCTAATAAATATTCCATTTGAATATCAGCGTTTGAAGTTTTATATGCACTGTTGAAAAATAGAGTTTTGTTTGTGTTCATTATATTCAGCAGACTTGTTATTGCTGGGTGATTGAAAGCTAATGTTTCAAATGGTTTCCTGCATAGTTGATGATTACTTGTGTTATAAGTTAGCTTCGGCACATTGTCGCCTGCAACGAATTCTAGCATGCTTTTATAGCTCTCCACTGCCGTTTTGATTGACTGGTAATCTGCCAAATTATCATTGTTAGACGAAACAGAATGTTTCAAGTTTATCAGAAACTTTACAAACTTATAAACGCCTTTTAAGCAATTTATGCATCTTTGACCAAGAATGCTGACGTTATCTTTCGGTTCTTTCAAGATAGAAACAGGATTCATTGGCCATTTTTCTAACGAAACATTCTGGATGCAGGTTTTGTTTGAATAATTGCGCAAAACCGATTTGTGATTATTTATGTTTTTTCTGCTCAACGATTTATTAGAATTCATAAAGAAATGGTTTCAAGTAGAAAGATTTTCAATTGAAAACATTTGTACAATTGTTTAAAAAACAAAATGACGTAATTTTTATATGTAAATCATTATAAAAAACATTTATAATTATTATGAAAGTGTTTATTGTTGAAAAATTATAAAAGGATTTAAAATTTATCAATAACTACTTACAACCAAACATAAACAAATAGATTAAAAATCGAGCAAATCAAATTAACAGATCTCACTTCTTTGCTAAAATCCGATTCTAAAATGTGATCTTGTTATAGAAACTTAACTGTGCAATATATCTGAGGATAATGCAAAAGTATGCAATTACATGCGATTTATATGGAAGCTCTCTTGCTCAGCTCTGACAACTGGCAAACTGCTTACGTGCCATGCCATACTTAATTGATTACTTATAAATTAAGCTTTTGTGCCACAAAGGCGCACCATCCACACCACACGACGTACATATACATTTTGTGAAAGTCTTTGAATTTCGGACCGAGAGTATTCAAACCAGGCCATCCCACCGCGTAATAGCAGCGCGAGATATGACATTTCTACCGACTGATGTAATCTGAACTATTCTAATTTTATTTAAAAAGCAGAATATCTGTAATTACCGTAATTATATTCAAATCAAAAAATAATAACAATACAAATTTTTACTGTAAATAAAATAAAAACTCACAAAAAAGGAAGAAGTAGGTGAAAAAGCCAAAAAATGAACTTGTAGATGAATAAAACTTTGTCTAACAGTTGAATACATCAATCGTTAAAATATTCGAGTAACATGCTGAAACGCCATTAAAGATATCCAATCAATAGAAAATTATTTTTATCAATTTTGTGGACAAAGATTCTACTCATGGTTATAAAAAAAATGATTTAACAATAAGAGTTATGTGAATAATGCAAACCTTGTTTAAAGATATAAAATAAGAGCAAATTTTTCTAAAGTGTTTTTTTTTAAGTTTTTAAACTCTATAGTTTGTTTTTTAAATATATTAGAGTTAATATAATATAATAATAGGATATCTATTTATAGGCTAAACTCTTTTTATGAACGAGTTGTCTCGATGAACCCAAACTCGATATTTTGGTGACGTCATAGCTCGCTATTTAGAAAGCCTGGACGATATGTTTCAGCCTTAAAACGATTAACGATAGTAATGTTCATAAACTTTATGATAGTGAGGACGATACGATAAAGAAGTTAATAAGTCTCCCAACAGTCACCATGATATTACTTAGACTGTAACAGGAGCTTTCTTAAGATTGACCACTTCTGGGCTCAAAACAGTGACACATGTGATGATTATCACGACAATGGTATTATTATTTTAAAAACCTTTATTTGAATGCTTACATGATTTACATTTTTATTTAACAAATATTAGACAAAAAATTGAACAAAAAACGAATAAATGTAACTGATGTGATCAATTTTTTAAAATTTTAATGCGACTGCAGTAATTTAAAAATAATTCAGAAAATATAATTTATCTATTGGTTTATGAAACAGAACTAAATATATATCTTATAAACTTCAGCTGACTTGAATTTTTTAAAACTAAAACATTTGTACACATGTACCCTTGGCATCTCTAAGATAAAAACTTGTCATATTGAATTTGTTTTCAAAGTTGTAATTTCTGTGTAAGGGGTATTGCGGGAAACCAGCTCCACAACTGCTCTAACAAGATATAAAATAAATTTATCGTTTATATTTCTTTTTAATTTTGATGAAACGTCAATGGCACTATCATATTTTCACGAATTCGTTTGTTAAATCTGAAAATGTTTACCTTAAAATATGATAATTTTTAGTTTTGACAAAATAACGAAATGTTGTTTCTCATGTAATTACATACACTGTGTGTTTGTTTTTCATGCCTCTAAAAATATTTATAAGAGATTGGAATTTCTCGGGTAGGTAGTTCGTATTAATAATCATCACTGTTGAACTTTAATGATTTTTGAAGAAGTGACTTACATTATTATGCTCATTTTTTCGACTGTTTCTCATGCAAACGAAATGTAATTTTTGTTAATTTTTTTAAAAATCATAAAAAATAAATTTCAATTAGTAAAAAAAGATTGTAATTAAACATTTGTTTCAGAAAATATAGAACTCTTTGTAGCCTGCCATGTTTTATCAATATGTTTATTAACCTGACGACATGCTGTCGGGTTTGTATTGTTAGTAAAATCCTTCGTTTTGTTGAGTGATGATGCATAACTGTTGTAGTCAGAATAAATTTGATCCTTTTTGAAAAGAGACATTAAAAATATTTGAAGGAAGCCAATAGAGACGTCAACAAATATTATGTAGATGGCAAGCAAAGTAATCTCCTTGATTTGGTTGAATAAAGTCAACTGTTCTTCTGTATTGTAATGAATAAAATTGTAGATGTCGTGTACCAAATATTTGTCTGTAAAATTTTAAACATTATTAATAATTATGTAAAATTAGCTCAAAGGTTTTACCATGATTTGGAATAGCGTTTGAACTTGATGGCAAACAGAAAAGGCACGAACTAATTTTTGATAAATTTCCAAAAAAAAATTCATCTTGAAACAATTCAGCAAAATCTGAAAATGATTATTTTAAAATTATATTTTTTCAAATTCAACTGAACGTGGTGAAAAATAATTTTAATAAATAAATTCATCTATATTCAAGTAATTAAAAATTTTTATTTAATTTATTAGTTTTTCTATTTATTTAATGTGAAAATAGGATGGATTGATAAACAGTTGATTAACTGATTGAAAGAAAAAACGAATAAATAGATGAAAATACCAACAATGAATAAAGTGATAATGTTGATGAATTGATAAATAAACTGTCGGATGTATAAAAGTTTTAAAATTAGAAACACTTGGAACCTTTTTGTAATTTACGTAATGGTTTGTGCATCGAAGAGAGGTAGAGAATAAATTCGCATGTTTCCAAAGAATTCATAAATTGAAAAGTGACGATGCTCAGGATGAGGCAGATGATGGCACGCACAAGTTGAGCGTGCAAACCTTTCAACACTTCTGACACTTCATCTATTAACAAATGTTTTATACATTATGTTATATACATTGTGTTAAATATCTTTATGTTATTTACATTATGTTATATATACCTTATGTTACAAACATTATAATTTTATATATTAAAACCTATGACTTGTATTTATTTTGTAAAAAATATCGTAGATTAATGGAAACTTGTTTAAATTATTTTTAAAATTCACATACGATTGGTAATGTGACAATGAAGAATAGAACAAAATTTTTAAACATACAAATTCAACATTTTAAAACAATATTAAACTTTCAAGTTATGTCCATAAACTTAACTTGAAAATTAAATTGTTTCAACTTCAGTATGAGTAGTATGCCTTTATAATGCGCTTAAAAATTAATTGCCAAAACATCGTTTAGTGCTTGCTTAGCTTTATGTTATTACTGCTACATGTAAGAGGTTCTGCGTTTGACAAAGCTGCATTAAAGAATTTGCAAGATGTTTTTGTTGCAAAATGTTTCTTGTTGCAAAATATTATTGTTGCTAAAAATTATTGTTGCAAACAATTATTGTTGTAGAATGTTTTTTGTTGCAAAATGTTATTATTGTCAAACGTTGTTCTGGCAAAATGTTATTGTTGCTTAATGTTAGTGACAAAATGGTGCTTTTTGAGATGCAGTCATAACAACGCTAGCGAGAAGAGAAATTGTGTTTGACACAGAATGAACTTACAGTTTCTAATACCTGGTTTTTTTTTCGAAACAGACAAATTGCTACCCCTCGACAAATAAAAACTAGTGCTAAGAGAATATTTATTTGAAACCAACTGGGCAAGGCTCGTTTTAATGTTCCATGCGTCGAAGCTTTTATAAATGTCACTGTTGGGTGATGAAAGAACAATACTGGCGTTATTAGAAGGTTTAAGAATTTCACCGTCACAACTTTTAAATTTGTGAAAATTACAAAAATACATTTTAACTTGCATATAAATTAAGCTTAAACGATATATAGAAAGAATAGCGTCAAATAAGTATCCAAGATGATATAATTTCCACCATCCATGAGCAGGAAAATACTTTCCTCGATTTGTCAGTAAAAATACAAATTCAAATGTAGAATTTTTTTTGAAAATATTTGATGAAAATGTTAGGAATGTGTTTGAATACGGATGACGACGATTTGCGTAATGACATTTTCTGTTTAGAGTTGAAACTTGTAGCGAACGAGCAAGATTTTCCATCGAATGTACTTTTATATTTTCTGTGATTCTGTTAAATAATTTACGTCACATCAAAATTGTTGTTCTTTATATTCAAAATTGGTTTAAACTAATAATATAATTTACCTGAAGATATCACTCGATATTTCATGAAATCCAGCCGACAATGTACAATTTGTGCATGTAACTGTAGTCCATTTATCAAAGACAAGATTCTTAATGACAGGATATTTATTTGATGAAATAACTTTTGTTTTTGGATGTTTCATTTCAAAATAAAAATTGGCGCTTTTCATGAATGATGATATTTTTAACAACGAGCGCCTTTTTAAATGAGATGCTTCTCCAACATAACTTGACGATTTAATATTTCTTGTCTCTTCAATGCTTTTAAATAAATTTTTGGTTTTGAATATCATGTGACAAAATTTAATGTGATAGAAGATAAAAAACAATCAGTCTCTGCCATTTTTATAGCCTCCAATGGCATTGTTTAACATACACAGCGTACGCATATGCTTACGTACACAGCAATCCATCACGCACTCCGACATGAGATCTTGCATTTGAACCAGGGCATCGAACCGTAATTTTTTTCATTTCGGTTTACGGTTTCGGTTCAATCAGCAAAACGAATTTCGGTTCGGTTTCGGTTTTCGTTTCTGAAATAATATTGGTTTTTTTTGGTTTTCGGTTTCGCTCCGAAACTTAATTTTTCAAGCATAGTTTCTTAAACGCATGTAACGGACATACGGACATCAAACTATCACCACAATGCCAATTTGAATGGAATTTTAGATTGTGAATAATGAGAAATCAATAACAAAAATGATAAAAAAAATAAAAAGAAGCGTTTCTAATATTTATTTTTAACAAATTATAAAAATCATTACAAAGATATTTTAAAATCACTAATATAAATATAAGATTGTTTCAAAGAAGATGAAAATTTCCTCTGATTATTGATATATCTTCTAAAATGTTTTCATTGAAACGACTGAGGATAAATTTTAATCCACAAACAGATGCTTCCAGGCTCCTTTGTGTAGCTGGTACTTCAAAATTTTGAAGATGATTGCATTTGATCTCTAATTGCTCCGATTATACTGGATTTCTCTTCACGTGGCAATTCTTACTCAAATTATCGGCAAACTCAGTCGGAAAAACAAACGAAAAGATTTGATTTGAACACATTTAATGGCCAATTTTGCTTGCAATAGCAGGTCAACAAATTCTCAGGTATATACATACTGATGTTCTTGAGGATATAGGTTAACACACCATTTACACCAACTGGCGTATTAACAGTACGTCTTCATCGTACAAAATAGGTTTTTGTGAAATTACCTTACAAAACAAGTCAGTGTGCATTATTAACTGCTGAAATATTTTAACTCCGACTACTGATGAATCTCTTAAAGGGACAAAAAGCGTCTAGCCTAGAACGAATTAGGTGTTCACAATGATGCTGGTGAAACAAGATGTATAATATTACTCGTAAAGACCAATCGTACTTAAAGTAGCAGGTTGATCAATTTTCACATAATTAATATTTTTATTGTTATTATGATTGTATTGTGTTTATAAAAACGCAAAAAAATCTTTGTTAAAAAAGCCTTAGTCATCTGGCGAGCGAGTCATAACCAAAAAGCCTTCATTTCTCTAAAAATTTTGTAACAAATGTAGAAGTTTATTCCAAAACTATGAACCGAAAACATGTTCAAACCACAGGCCGCACTTAACAATTTTCGAACCCAATTCTGAACTGACTGGAGCTTATATATATATATAGTCTGTCAGACACGCCATAAAATACTTTAAATAATCAATCTTGAATTGAATAAAAATGTGCCGAAATAAGAAGAGTAGGCCTAACCAGATATGTTTTAACAACTCTGTGCGTATTCGTAAGGAGACCATATTTCATACAATTTTGTATGAATTCTTCCAAATTGGTGGCATTAATCAATTTAAAGATTGTCTTTTCAATTTTTCTTGCTAAAACTTTCTGGATAAAACTCAATCTATTGAAAATAGAATTGTTATTTAAGTTCATCATGCTAATAGGCCTTATTTCGGTTTTTCACAATTCGATTTTGCAGCTTTGGTTTAGTTTATATAGTTTCGTTAGGCAATGCAAAATTAGTTACTTAACAAAGTGAGTTATTTAGTTGGTGTTTTATTATTCATCTCCTTTGTTGTTGTTATTTTCTTGTTTTTCATTGTTATTAGAATTAGTATTAAGGCTGCGAATTGTTAATGATTATAATCTTTCCTTGTTGGATGTTTATCTTAGGTTTATTGATATCTATTTGAACAGCTTCTGAAATTTTTAGATGTATTGTGCTGGAGTTTTAATAAATTATTACAGTGTTGTTGTCAACCAAACATTTATGCCAGTTATGTGGACAGTTATATTATATATATATATATATATATATATATATATTATCCAATATATATATATATATATATGGTATGGTATGGAGAATTTATATAGCGCCCCTCTATGTAAAACTCAGAGGTGCTGTTCGAGAAGCTACCGGTCAAAAAAGTGATATTTAAGTCGTTTTCGGAACATGTCTCTTTCATCCATACTATCAACGACACCATCGGGCAGTTTATTCCAAACCTCCGCTGCAGCCACGGAGAAACGACGCCGTCCATAATTTTTTGTCCTGAACCTAGGAACAACGAGTTTCTTTTTGGCAGAGGATCTGAGTTTTCGCCCCCCGGCAGCCGTAGGGACAGGCACGATCAGCTGTTGAAGGTATCGAGGACCAAGCCCCATCAAACTGTCTCTTGTAAACATAGCTATTCTGAATTCGATTCTATAACAAACTGGCAACCAGTGAAGCTCATTTCGCATATATGATGAAACAGATTCATATTTTGTTACACCAGCAATTATTCTTGCTGCAGTGTCCAGAATAGACTGTATGCAGTTTTGAAGATACAAGCTTGTACCATAGAGGATTGAACTGCAGTAATCTATTTTTCCACAAATGAAACTGTGCATCAATGAAATTAAGCATTCATTTGTCAGGTACTTTTTTATACGTCTGATTTGGCGCAATTGGTAAAAACATGATCGGCATACATTTTTCACATGTTTATTCATCTTCAATTCAGGATCTATCCAAACACCAAGATTTATATATATATATATATATATATATATATATATATATATATATATGTATGTATATATATATATATATATATATATATGTGTTGGTAGTAGACCATAATTTTCACAATATTCTATAAATTCTACCGAATGTTTGGCGTTAATATGTTTGTAGTTCGTTTTTTCAATTTTTCTCACTAAAGTTTTTTGGTGAACGTTTAGTTTATTAAAATTAAAAATAAACTTATTTTCAGAATTCATGCTGCAAATAAGGCCATGTTTCGATTCCGAATGAATCATCATTTATTTTCGGTTTATTGATGTCAATAAGAACTGCTTCTGCAGTTTTAAGATGCGTGTAGTTGCTGTTCTAGTATTAAAATTGCAGAAGCAGTCCTAATTGACATCAATAAACCAAAAAAATAAATATACAACAAAAAATGACAACTTCACTTCCAACCCGGCGCTTAACCAACAACGAAAACAAAGAAGTAATAAAAACTAGCATTGTAAATAGTGACAATGAAGAATATGATGCTATCGATGAAGTAAAGGAGACCAAAGAAGATGACCAGCCAATAAAGAAACCTGACATCTAATTTCCATCTAAATTCACTTTGACAAAGTCAATCTACATCTAAGTTCATTTTGACAAAGTCAATAATTCCCTATATAAAGAGCAGAAAGCACTGATGATGATTCATTCGGAATCGAAATATGCCCTTATTTGCAGCATGAATTTGGAAAATAAGTTTATTTTGAATTTTAATAAACTAAACGTTCACCAAAAAATTTTAGTGAGAAAAATTGAAAAAACGAACTACAAACAAATATTAAATATATTTGTAGAGTGCTAGTTTGATTTATATAGGGAAATATTAACTTTTTAAAAATGAACTTAAATGGAAATTAGGTATCAGATTTCTTTACTGGCTGGCCCATTTTCGTTGGTTTCCTTTTCTGCATCGATAGCATCATATTCTTCTTTGTCACTATTTACAATGCTAGTTTTTATTACTTCTTTGTTTTCATTGTTGATTAAGCGCCGGGTTGGGAGTGAAGTTGTCATTTTTGTTGTATATTTATTTTTGGTTTATTGATGTAAATTAGGCAGTGTTGACGAGTACTTAAGTACATTGGTACTTAAGTGCATACTTAAGTATTAAAATAGTACTTATATACTTGTAATTAAGTATGTGGAAAAATTGTACTTACGTACTTGTACTTAAATATTTTTTTCAGTACTTATACTTATAAATAATACATTTTGTTATAAGTACTGACTAAAATAGTTGTTGAGTTTGATCAGAATCTTAGACATCGCTCGGAACCATTTTAATTTTTAATTTCCAAGCTATCATTTTTTTATCTATGCTCATTAGTTTCCGTTTTTCGTTTACATTCTGAATTCTGATAAAGATGACGCATGATGAAGAAAACTTGAGGATTTTGCCTTTAGTAGTTAGGAATTAGTTTTTCGAATCGAAGTTGTTGAAGATGATGGTGACGTTATTGTTGCAACTTGTGCAAGCCAAAGAGACTACTTATTCGTGGACAGCATAAAGCGCCATCTAATTTTAACAAACAGGTGAAGATATGTTGTTAAAGTTTATCTAATTCTTATTTTAAATTTTAATGATATCGACTAATTGCTATAATTTTATTAATGATATTTTTGAGTGAAATCTATAATACTTTTTTTTTTATTTTTATGTTTAGAAGATTGATTCGTGGAGAAAAATATCTCAAAATGATGCATGAAAATAAAGATAAATTGAAGACTGTGAAGCGAGGTTTAAATGAAGATGGCACAGTCTCAACTCCACCTACAAAACAGTCAAAATTTGATTTTTCATCTGTATCACATGAAAAGTTAAAGGACTTAATTGCTAATTTTATTATTTTCGACATGCAGCCACTTGCTGTTGTAGAAGGAGAAGGTTTTAGACAAGTGAATCCTAAAGGCCATGCGATGTGTACAGAAACACTAAAAGGTATGCTGGACATGCGGTTCAACAACATGAAACAGATTATGAAAGAAAAATTAAATGAATGCAAATATGTATGTACAACTGCTGATATTTGGACGCGACAGTCTCGCAGTTACATTGGTGTGATTTGCCACTGGATTGATCCTGCTGGCTACAACTGCAAGCAAAGCCATCTGTCTTCAGTAAATGTGTCAGTCTCAGCAGTGCATCTCACCAAAGTTCAAAAGCTGCTGAAGTTTTGCATGAGATCTTTGGTAGAAAAATTCCCAAACCGAATGGAACACGTTGGAACTCTGAGTTTGACAACTATAATATTATACATAGCTTACAAGATAAAGTGAATATTGTGATGGAGCGTCTGCCGCTGCTGAAGTTTAGCAGTATAGAATTGAATTTTTTTAGCAAATGGTTAGAACTAATGAGACCGATTTTACAAACACTTGACAAACTCCAAAAAGAAGCTTCTGTGGAGTCATACTTTGGTGCTATTATACCAACTATTCTTGTTATCCAGAAAAAACTTGAATCGTTCACACCTACGTCAAAACTGCAATTAGGACTGCTTCTGCAATTTTAAGATGCGTGTAGTTGGTGTTCTGGTATATTACTTTGATGTTGCTGTCGAGGATTTAACGGCTTATAGTGATTGAGTGTGTTGAGTTCAAATGAGATTTAATAGCACCACTCTCTTTATGCATCGTAAGCCTCCTAGTCAGTGAGGTAGTAGTAATCCCGATATATGAGTCATGTTGACGTGCACGCACAGCCGTCAAAGTGGCAATTAAATTCATATATTACGTGATTACGCTTTAACACAGAGTCATCTCTAGGACTAGAATTATTTTTCAGTATTAGATGAGACGATTTTTTATTGTTGTGATATATTCGGAGTTTAACTTTATTAATTGGGTTGGTTGGTGTGACATTTTTATTGATGATATGTTTAAGAATAGCTTCATCTACTTTGTACGCAGTTGACATGTGACTTCTGTAATACAAGATGATGTCGTTCGTTATTTTGATATTAGGAATGTTATTGTTATAGATATTAGGAAGGTTATTGTTGTGTAGTAATTTGCCCTTCACAATCATTTCAATAGAATAAGTCTTATATCCATTGTTTACAAACAGGTTGGTGACTCTTTTTAATTCAGGGTCGCGATTTTCAATATCGGAAGAGTTTGTGAATGCTCGGTTTACAAATGATTTTATTGTGCTGTCTTTAAATTGTTCGGTACATTCACTTTGTCCATTCAAACAAATTCCTGTATTCGTTTCTTTGACATAGACCGCAGAACTACAAACATATTAACGCCAAACATTCGGTAGAATTTATAGAATATTGTAAAAATATATATACATATATATATTATATTATATATATAATATATATAATATATATTATATTATATATATATATATATATATATATATATATATATATATTAAAACTGTCAGAAAAGCAATTATTGATAAAATTTTGACAAAGCGTGTTTGTTTGACGAGGAACCCATGACGGGCCTTGTGCAGTAGAAGACTTTCCTTATCTGGGCAGTTAGGCATTTGTCGGCAGTTTTCAATAAGACTTTTTGTAACGACTTTAACCGGACGTCTGGAAGGCATGCGACGTATCTAGACCAATGATCTATACAAACAGCGAGGATGTTTTAAATGCGAGGTTTATTGTTCCTGGACAAGGGAGCTTTTTTGAATTCTGTGGTCTAAGGCTGTATCATTATTGTTTCATGCGTAGGTTTAATTACATTCGAATCAGGGAACATATTGTCGATTTGGATGTAGTTTAATGAATCTCACCACAAACATTTAATTTTTTGTTACCACAAAATTTTAAATAGTTACTAAGTTTGATTCTTTGTAAATATAAATAATGTTTGAGAAGTACTATCCAATTTGAAGAAGAGCAACCAGCTTTCTGACACATTATTGATTGGCCTGACAGCCATGTTTTAATTGTTTCTATCAGCAAGGTGTTAAGGTAATTATCAATCAAGTCAACGAGCTGTTGTAAGTCAAAAGCTCAATTGTATATGTCTTCTAAAGATTCGAAGTTTTCAAGGTACTGACGTTTTTAGTTTATTGATTACTAATAACAAATTTTTCAACAATTTTTTGCCTTCAATGTTGTCACCTTCAAAATTGTAGATTTTGCCCTGATAATTGAAATTTCTGTATAGTTCGATTTAGGAAATTGATCAACTTCGGAAGGAACTGTTCATAGATACTTTTTTTTTATGCCAAACGCATACCGGTTGTGTTACACTATGCCTGGTTTTGTCGATAAATTTCTTAGTGCATTCGGTGTTGTTGGCAATAACTGATGTGTTGTCAACAGATTGGAGCCATGTTTTTGATTTTAAGTTGGGAGTTGGCTGTGAAGTTCTATATATAGACAAATTGTTGATATTTGGGTTTTTTTAATTCTTCATTAGTTTAAGTATCTTCAAAGCACAGGTTGAAGAGCAATGGCAAAACGAGATCACCCTGGAGAACGCTTTTTCTAACCGGAATGTTTGCACACTTAAACTGAAATTGTGTAGTCGGCGTATATGAATATTACTAAATTGCTGATTAGGGGTGGATAGTGATGGTGATCTATGGTAAATGACCACTAAAAGCGTCGCTTAGTCGAGTAGATGGACAAATATTGTTCGTTAACGTATTTTGGAGTCGTTGAACTTATGCGACAGGGCTGGGTGTGTTCAATCAAGCCATCATCTTTGGATAAAATCTTTAATAATAAAATTGATAATAATTATAATTGCCGGCAAAAAAGTTATCCAAATAATTTACGGTCGAACGTAAACACATGCGAGTGTAGGCAAATGAAACAGCAGAGAAAGAAAGCAGCACCACTTACAGATCAATTGGCAATCACTAGCAAAAAGGAACCAAGAATAAAATAGTGGCATGCAGCTGCTTACTGATCATGACAACATTTTAATGCCACCGCTCCATATGAAGTTGGGACTTGAAAAATTTTACAGGGAAGTTTAACTGATGCATGTTGGTACCCGCTAAATAAGTTTCTAAGATCGAGTTGTGCAAAAATAACAGATCTGCAAGTAAAAATCGTGGCTGGTTTCATAAACAACCATGAAAGCAATGTATTTATAAAAAAGATGCGTGGATTTAAATAAAAAAAATTTTTTTAATTTTTTCAAAATGTGGACATTTTTTAAGTTATATCTATTACTCAATATTATTTATTAGGTATACTGTTTATGTAACAAGTTTGTAAATCTTGTTTCATTTACATTAGCTGTAAAATACTGAATCAAGTGTTATATTTTATGAAAATTGGAAAAAATAACGACGTTAACGCAAAATAGAAAAAAAAATCAAAACTGAAACAAAATGAATTTGAATTTAAAAAAAAAGAAGCTGAAAGCTGAAATGAATTTCAAACAGAAACTGGACTGCAGAACAATGTTTTTCTAAAGTTATAATTTTCATAAACCAATTTAAAACAATTTTTTTTAAAATTATTATCAATTAAACAAAAATAATTTATCAAGCCGGTTATATTCAATGACAAACCTTCGGTCGTTTGTATAGGTAACATAATTGTGATTTTCATGTAGCAGGGCCAAACTGCTGTTTAGATTTGCATCAACTGGATCATCAATTTTAGATAGGCAGTTACTTTTTTGTTTCGTGCAAGTAGAAGTTGTCATATTTATCATAGCGAATAAACATGAAAACGTGAACAAAACACCGTGGAAAATTTGAAGAATTAAAACCAAAAGCTTTGATAATAATTTTAATTTATTACAACAGGTCTTGCTTTTCAAAAGTCTGTCGAACGTGATGAGTTTGGTTGAATAATTTTTTAAATATAATTTCGGTGCTACAAACATTGCATAGAAGCACAAAATAACCACTGTTCCACCAACGCTCATATTTATTGAAGATAATTTGAATGTCATTTTTCCAATATTGCTACCATTCGAGAAGCTGTGCTGAGTAGCTTGCTTGTTTGTTTTGAATGACTTTTCATATACTTTCAAGTACCACTTCACAAAATATTTTCTGTTTGCTTTTGTCAATTGCAATGTTAAACTAGTTTCTGATTTTTTTATTCCACCAACAAAAATTGCAAAATTAAAAATAACTGGACAAGTGATTAACACGTCAAGATTCACAAGTTCTTCATTATCGTTAGTTCTCACCAGTGTCAACTTATAATAATCGGGACAAAAAGTTACTTCTCCTGCAAAGAATAAACATTTGTGTTATGTTTATAGAATATATTTAAATAAATATCATTAACTAATCTTACCTGAAATATTAAGTGTTAATGATTTATTTGAAAAACTGTGGACAAGTTTCACAGATTTGAATAGATCCATTTGTTTTGATTTGAACCACCACTCAAACAGAGAAGTCTCACCTGAAAAATAAGCGTTCTACTTATTACCTATAATAAACTTTGTTGCTTTAAGTTATTCAGAAAGAATGTGTAGACTCATATTAAAGTTGAGTTTTTAATAAAGTTGATAAAAATTGAAGTAAAGTTGAATAAATAAAATCTTTTGACAAAATGTTTACTATAAACCTCTAAGTTTTATATTTTTCGGGTATATTTACTTAGCTGGAAAGTATAATTACACACATTTCAATATTATTTTGCACTCTTTAGGAACTAGCAGTGGCAAATTTAGAGAACCGGGGAGCCAGGCTCTTCCCGTTAACAACAGTTCAACAACCATTTTTTGTAATTGTTTTTAAATTTAGCCTACTTTTTAAACATTAAAATACTATTTTAAATAAACAAAAAATTGACAAAAAAGGTCGATAACTTTTTTAGCCTCTCACAAAAACTCTTTTTAATTTTGACCAAGTCGAGGTTGTCTGGATCCGTCCTAACAAATTAGGAAATTATTCTATTTTTACAAACTAGAATATAATATAAACTGTGGTTTATTAAATAAAGCAAATATTATTTTGTAACTGATAGTTGAAAATTATTTCGGATCGTTGGAGTATTAATGTGAAGTTTAGTGACGAAATGAAAAGAGAAAACCATTTCAATTATAAACCTAATAAAAATTTACGCGTTGTTAAAAAATCCGTTTTTGAATTTTTATAAAAATTATTTTTGAATCAAAAGCATTTTTTGAAAAGTTTTTCACAAAAATTTTTGTGCAAAAAATAATGGAAGATTAACATTTTTTAGCTGTAATTTAAAATAATGAAAAAACAGTGAAACACTCAACTGAATAACCGCTTAGAAAAATTTTGTATAGGAACAAAGAAGTGTAATGAATGACTTTTTCAAAATCAAATAAAGCCAAAATAGAATATGCACGAATCAAAAATGACGTACTGACCTGACCAAAAACAAAAAAGTTTGAAAGCTTGGAAATAATTAACTCGTAGCTTTTTTATGTTTGAACTGCGGAATAGAAGCAACAGAAAAATAAAAAATTCACAAAGTTATTCAAAAACTTAAGATTGCAAACAGGATGACTATCAAAATTAAAAAATTTCTTTGTATAACGGTTCAAAATTTTTTGGTCGCAACCTAATTTTTAAAATATTTGACGTTTATATTTCTTATTCACTCAAATTCTTCATAATAATTGAAATGGTGTATTTAGCATATAAATTAGCAATATGGAAGTGAACAAATCTTTCAACCTGGAATTGAAATTTTTATGTACGGTCGAAAGGTTGGTGATTTGACCATGTACTGTCTGGGTTTGTTCAAATAATTAATTTCAACTTTGGCTTCATTTTCTCGATCTAAAAGTTTGTTTGGAATAGATTTAAATATACTAATATTCTTATAACAACTTTCGTTCCAATTTTTCGTGTTGTAAGCAAAAGGTCTTGAAAACTGAACGGAAAGTTCCTGAAATAAAAACAAACTATACAATGTTGATATGTAAAAATCTTCATCCATCCATCCGTACCCAGACGTTGTGAGCTATTGAGAAAGGGAGAAACTTTTCGGAAGAATTTAAATAACTATCTAACGAGTTGATGTATGTTAATACTTTTTCTTTCGATTTTCTATAACTAAAAATTATTTCATTTTCCAGGTTTTTCAACCCAGATTCGTGTTCAATTTTGAAAAAATATTTTTCAAATATGCCTGAGTCAGTTGACAAAAAATTATCATTTATGTGATGTCCATAAAGTTTTGGAGTTTCAAATTTGTTGGGAAAGCCAATGTAAAACCAAAATTTGTATAACAATTGATGTCGACGTTTTAAATGGCAGTCGAAATCATGAACGCCTTGTGGCAGAACCGGAATTAATGTTAGTCGATAGGTATCTCCTAAAATCTTAAAAAAATTGAACTTTTAAAAATTTTATATAAATGTATATAATATGCATATTGTATACAGGTGGTAATAATGAATGTTTCAAAATTTGGAAGGTTTTGTGAAATCTTTGTTGGTGATAAAGCTTATAAGCTTATTAATGAAAGTTTTTTTTATGGTCTTTTATGCGAAATTTGCGGTTTCTAATGTTGAACGTTAGATTTATGGACCATTAATGAAATACCAGAAAATTCATCAGTTAACTAGGGTGATTTATTTAGAAAGTTGCAAATCTGGTCTTCGTTTGTGAAGTTGTTATTCAACAAAATGACCATTTGCTTTTATAACATTTTTGCAAGTAATTTAGATTGAAACATTTGTTGCAATACAATTTGAATGCAATTTAATAATGTTTGAACCCATGTTTATTAAATATTTTTTTCAAAATTCACCCATTCGGCATCCGGTTTGATTCAACTGACAGTTATTGAAAATATATCTACAATTGTAACTGGCCAAACAATCCAAAGTACAACATTGTGATCCTACAATATAAATAAAATTTAACTGATCATATTGGCAAATAAATATTAAAAAATGATAATGTCGAAAATTCGTACCAGATGAACATTTGTTTATGGCGTTGATACAACTCTCGCATGATTCCGATGCAGTTTCACATGTCCTCGTCAGTTTATAAATTTCTTTTTCTTGCGACAAACTCACGTTAAACATTTTTTTAATAAACTCTAAACCTAATGTGCATGAAATGCTGTTTGAAATTCGTGGGAAGCTGTCAGGTTTCGTGCCCTGCCATTTTTGAAAAATTTCATAAAATAATTAATACATTATAGTTTTTATAACGCAATATTTGTACAAACAATACGATAAAATATTTATACAATACACCGCAACATGTTTTTGTTAATGTATCTATGTATGCACCCTATATACCCTATGTACGTACATATGTATGCGTGCATGCATGCACATATGTATTTATGTGTGTATGTATGTATGTTTGTATATACATGCATTCATGCATGCATGTATGTTTGTACATACATGCATTCATACATTCATGCATGTATAAATGTATGTATGCATATATGTATGTATGTGTGTGTGTGTATGTATGTATGTTGTATGTATGTATGTATGTTAAAACCAAATCGTGATGAATGACACCAAACAGTCAAACATCTGATTAAAAGGGTTAACACTTTAATGTATCGTTAGTCTCACACGTCGGCGTTTAAATTAATATTTTCCGACACACAAACACGCAGAAATCGCTGCAACAAACACGAGATGTGGTTTATTGCAAAAAAAACTCTCTGTTGTCACCTGACCGAACAACAATCATTTTACACAATGTTTTAATAAATTTTGAAGTATTGGGGTCCATGGGTCCAAGGACCTCGATACATATTGGCAAAAAGTCTAAGGAAGGCAGGGCGTGTTCATATTTTTTGATTTTTTCGTCCAATGCCCTGATTGCAGCCAAACCACATTCTTTGCTGGTAAGGTGAACGTAGCGCTCGGCCAAGGTACCAGGAACCGTAACATCCCAAGCCAAACATTTACCAGATCTCCAGGGAGTAAGAGTACAACCGTCTGGTCGCTTGCCATCTTGCACTGAAATGCCAGATGGTTCCTTCAAAACAGAAATAGAAGCTTTAGAAAAAAGCCGGCAAATGTAATCATTCAAAGCTGAATGACGAAGTTGACGGCCTCCACCTAAACGGCAAACCAAACCATGATGACCAAGTTGGTCCGCCTCCGCGCCGCAACGACACAGATATTTATTTTGTATACTTAGGCCAAGTCTGAAACCAACGGCAAATCTAACAGACTCGTCATCGAGTCTGGTGCCTACGGAAGTGTTGGGCCACAACTAACATCACTAGTTGCAGCCAATAAGCGGGCGGAGGAGGAAGCACCGACACCAGAAGACAGAAGTTCATGAAAAGTCTTCTTATATTGCTCATCTAAAATTTGAGCTTGTGAAGGGCTTTCAAGTGTGGTCGGCAGTGGTGGGATGTCACAGCAACAACAAAATCGGCAAAGCAAGGCGGACTGGAGGTCAAGAGTGGCAGCGGCAGAAGATTTATAGACGATTGGTGCCAACTGAACCACACTGAGTAACCCCAGACCACCATACCGCACCGGCAGCTGAGCCTAGGACCAGCCACTGTCAGTCAAATGAACATTGCAAATGGCTGACAAGGCGGTACGCAAAACATCATCAAATCTGCCCAACAACGATGGGTTAATGTAGCTGGATGTATGTATGTATGTATGTATGTATGTATGTATGTATGTATGTATGTATGTATGTATGTATGTATGTATGTATGTATGTATGTATGTATGTATGTATGTATGTATGTATGTATGTATGTATGTATGTATGTATGTATGTATGTATGTATGTATGTATGTATGTATGTATGTATGTATGTATGTATGTATGTATGTATGTATGTATGTATGTATGTATGTATGTATGTATGTATGTATGTATGTATGTATGTATGTATGTATGTATGTATGTATGTATGTATGTATGTATGTATGTATGTATGTATGTATGTATGTATGTATGTATGTATGTATGTATGTATGTATGTATGTATGTATGATCGACGTTCATGACACTTCCCAAGATCCAACATTGTCTGGACGTTCCATGAAGCCAAATTTAAAATTTTTCTTTTCTTTTGACCGCATAGTAGGATACCCAGTCAGCCGCGGTAGATGAAGGAATCTTGGTGGTCTGCTAGAGCTGATGAATTGCAAGTAGCGGCCGGCCGCGGGGACATGAAATCATTTTACAGAAATCTGAAAACTGTGTTGGTCCCCGCAGCTCCGGTAGTGTCCCGGTACGTTCTAAAGATGGTCAAACACTCATCAAGGATGGCCATGGAATCCTGGCTCGTTGGGCTGAACACTTCAACAGTGTGCTAAATCAAGAATCCCGGTTTGATGACTCAGTCCTTGCTGAGTTGCCTGACTGGAGCATTGCACGTGATCTCGATGATCCCCCTAGCCTGTCTGAAGTGGAAAAAGCAATCACTTAAATGTCAAATGGAAAAGCTCCGGGTTTGGACGGGCTGCCGGCAGAACTCTTCAAATGTGGTGTCATTGAACTTAAAACCAGGGTGGTGACAATGTTCCAAGACATGTGGGATAGGAAATCGGTTCCTCAAGATTTTATGCTAAGGATTTCATTTTATGATAAGGATGCCCTTATCATTCACATATTCAAACAGAAAGGGAATCGTTCATGCTGTGATGATCACAGAGGCATTTCTCTGCTATTGATTCCTGGAAAAATATTGGCCCGCGTGATCGTTAACCGCCTAACCAAGTACGTCAATGATGTTGGTATCCTTCCAGAAGGTCAGTGTGGCTTTCGGGCTGGTCGTGGTACTATGGATATAATTTTTACTGCCAGACAACTTCAAGAAAAATGTCGTGAGCAACAACGCGAACTTTTCTTCGTCTTCATAGATTTAACAAAGGCGTTCGATTCCGTCAACCGTTCAGCGTTATGGAAATGTCTCAAAAAGATCGGTTGTCCTCCGATTTTAGTGTCGATTATTCGCTCCTTCCATGAAGGCATGAGGGCAACCGTAGTTGAAAATGATGATCGATCCCCGGACTTCGAGGTGACGAATGGTACCAAGCAGGGGTGTGTCATGGTTCCCTTGCTGTTCAACATTTACTTCTCCCTAATGCTTCGAGTCGCCTTTCAACATTGTGTAGAGGGCATTCCAATCTGCTATTGCATGGATGGAGACGTTTTCAACATCAGACGCCTACAAGCGAAGTCAAAAACACAAACCACAATAGTCCGCAACCTGCTCTTTGCGGATGACTGCGCTTTGGTTGCACATACACAAAGTGAAGTTCAGGCTCTGTTCAACTGTTTCCACACTACTGCAGAAAGGTTTGGACTCACGGTGAGCAGAAAGAAAACAGAGGTTCCGCACCAAAGCTATCCTATTTCGTCGGATTCTAAAGCCATCGTAACTACTGGTGGTTCGCAGTTGAACGCTGTGGATCAATTTTGTAACCTTGGTAGCTACCTCTCCAACACTACTGCAATCGATGATGAAATTACGGTTAGGATTGCCAAGGTTGGTGCTGCTTTTGGTGGTTTGAGTGGACGACTCTGAAAGGAACGGAGTGTGTCGCTGGCTACTAAAATATCTGTCTATAAGGCAGTTGTGTTAACCACAATGTTGTATGGATGTGAAACATGGATTACTTATAGGCGCCATATACGTAGACTCGATCAGTTTCATATGAGATGTCTACGGGTTATCGCTAACGTTAAATGGGAGGATAGGGTGCCAAATACGACTGTATTGGAAATGTGTGGTATCTTGGGTATCGAGGCATTTTTGTTACAGGCACAGTTTCGTTGGGCGAAACACGTTATCCGCATGTCGGACACAAGAATTCCCAAACAGGTGTTTTTCGGACCGCTGGCTTTTGGAGTTCGCCTTGCAAGCGGTCAAGTTCGCAGATTTAAAGATAATCTGAAGGAAAACCTGAAAAAGTCGAACTGGATTCTAAAACCTTGGGTGTCGTTGCGCTCGAGCGTTCACAGTGGAGGACACGCTCACAAGCGGCAGTTTCCGCCTTTGAGGAGGCGCGCATTGCAGCTCTAGTTGGAAAAAGAGGACGGCGTAAGCAGGTGGCCCGGGATGGTGACAGCACAGGGGTGTGGGTTTGCGGATCCTGTGGTCGTCGATGTTCATCAAGAATAGGCTTGTTCTCGCATCAAAGGACTCATTAATGACACAATTCGTCGAATGCGACGATTATTTCACGTAGGTATGTATGTATGTATGTATGTATGTATGTATGTATGTATGTATGTATGTATGTATGTATGTATGTATGTATGTATGTATGTATGTATGTATGTATGTATGTATGTATGTATGTATGTATGTATGTATGTATGTATGTATGTATGTATGTATGTATGTATGTATGTATGTATGAACCGTTTTGATCGAACAAGCCATGGTTAGGCATGCAATCGTTTCCGAGTTCAACTTTTATCTATGTCCCTGGTCTCGCACAGTCAGGTATCTAGCAGCTCCATCCAGAATGCAAAAGGAATTAAATTTTTGTAATAAAAGTGAAAGAGTTTGTTTTAAATAATTGCCTTCGTTAGGATCACCCGTTATATTAACTATTTTTCTTGTTAATTCGTTAATAAATAATGATGTGTGCTTATCTGTTGGTCCGAACGTTTCAATGCAAATGGGTTGAAATATTTTGCTTAAATTGTTTAATGAAACGTATTTTTCATTTTTGAAATCGGACGCTTTAAGGGCAGCAGTATGTATGTATGCATGTTGTAAAAAAAAAGTAAAAAAAGTACAATATTCTTACAACAGCTATGCACGGTTCATTCAGTGATCTGACTTCAAACAACTCATTCGGCAGGACAGCATCTGGACATTGTCCATATTTAAAATCTTCCAAAGAACAAGTTTTATTAACTAGTTTTGTTGTCCTGTCCATGAATATCTCCAGTGTCAGTTTGTAGTGACTCGGCAGGGGATTACTGAAAAAAGCGTAACTTTGAAATATCAATTAACATAAATAAAATTAACATAAAATTAAATTAGCATAATATATATATAACATGAGTATAATTAATATAGAAAATTATTGACATAAAATATAATTAACATAAAAAATAATTAACACTAAATTTCATTAAAACGAATTGCTTCAACAAACCTGCACTGTTCTTTCAATATGTTCATAAATGCATTCTTACGGTATGTAAACATTTGACTTCCTAGGATAAAATCATTATCATGACCACCACGGTGTGTTGCTTCCTCGTACGTTGGGATTATCTGAATATCCTGATCAGTGTTCATGTAAATTAGGATGCAGGCCGTTCATATTCGTAGTTTGTTCAAATTATTTGAAAAATAAGTGAAGTCGGATTAATGAAAGAAATGAATACACATCATGAAAGTGAAATGAAAAGACACTACAACCTGCAGACCAATATTAATTCTCATGCCAGAGTCACGAAACCAGAAGAAATCAGTTTGCTGCTTATGGTCTGTCACGTAGAAAGTTGTTTCTAACGCTTTGTTCGTCAACATGTTTTCAATAATTACATTATCCTTTTCTTTTTCTATGCGAATTTCTACAAAAATACGTGAAAATATAATGAACTTGATTTGTTTAATCACACTCAACGTTAATGTTAATGAAAAAAAACAAACTTTTCTTTTTTATAGGAGACGGAGTTTTCATTGGTTCAGAAGTTTCATCAACTACAACCAAATTTAATAAGATAAAAAACTGATTTAGTTATTCTTCGCTTTATTTTAATTAAAACTAAAATATATTTACATAATTGGCTTTTGTTTATCACCCGCGGTCAAATAACATCGAAAATTCAGACACGCGATGAAAGCAATCTTCATGATGAAAATGCTTTAAAGAAAGACACTGCATTCTAATCAATCAGTGTGCGCACTTTTATTAAATTTATTTTCATTCCATTATAATATGAACCTATTAAAATATTTGATCATCAGTAAAAACATGTGCGCACTTTTATTAAATTTATTTTCATTCCATTATAATATGAACCTATTAAAATATTTGATCATCAGTAAAAACATGTAAATATTCATATTTCAAAACAGATTTTTCGTTAAGCTATATTGCTTACTGTTCGTACAATAAAATCTGTTGAAAGTGTAACATATAGTATATAATTTCCTACTGTTATGCACTTACAAAGTAATGAATTTTTACATAATAAACAACGCGGATGATTCAACACTTTTTGTTTTTGAATAACTAATTGTTGATTCAATTGTTGTAAAATAGGATAGTGTCGCTACGAACGCATTCAGTTTGAGGAGGAACTGGAACCTTCCAACACCGATGACGTTCGAGAAGCGTTGGTGACACGAATATTAAAGGCATGCGAGATATTGAATTGTCGTTGAATATTTGATATTGGAAAGCAATTGATTGTTAGTGTCAAAAGCGATAGTTGATATTTGACTCTGCGTTGTATTTTTATTGTATTTGCGATAAACGTTAGTGAATTGTCATTAGGAAAGCGATAGTTTCTGAAAGTTAATTTGATAGTTTCTGAGCAATAACTTTTATCAGTAAAATTAATTAGCGTTGATTATTGATTAATTAATTAATTAACTATTGTTTTGTGAATAAATAAAACGATAGGAAGTTATATTGCCTTAATTTTTCACTGGGTCTAAACGAACTCGTCGTTGACAGGAACAGTTATAACATTGATATCAGGTGGGATCTTCGGTGGAAAATAATTGAGCATCTTTGTTGAAAATTTTATTTATTATTAAACAGAAGAGCATTGATAGTACGTCTAACGAAAGCCCTTGTTAATGATAACAAAAACTCAAACGAATTCGAGTTTGACGATCAACGATGTCAAATCGAATGCAGTTGCAAACGTTGGAGCAATCACCAAATTGAGGGCTCTACTTCGAACGATATCAACAAAATTGAACAGACGAGAGATCAAATTGAATAAAAAATTGAACAATAATCAGCAGAAATAAAACAGACGAGAGAACAAATTGACGCCTAATTCGAAAAACAATCGGCCACGATTGAAACAAAAATAATACAACAGTTGAGAGAACTCAGAGAACAATTTGATGTCAGAGCTGAACAGCAATCAGCCGTGATCAATGCAAAAATAGAAGACATCACGTCAAAAATTGATCAGAAAGTTGATCAAAAAGGTTATCTAGCTCGACCAGAAGTTATCTTACGAAATGGATCGACTTATACAAGAAATGGAAGAAACTAAAAAAATTAAATCAACACCTGTAAGCAACGTGACCGCGAAGATATTGAAAGCGGCAGCAAATGACCGAGGATCTTCTTGGTACATCTATAAAGCCCAGTTTGAAGCAGCAGCAATGAGTTATAACTGGAATGAACGAGAGCGGCCACGGCTCTTGTGTTAGCGTTACGAAGGTCAGCGCAAAATTTCTTCTAACGATTTCAGTCGAGATTAATGCGGTAAATTTATAATGCGGTAAATTTACGTTACACATGAAGCAAATATATCGGTCCCAGTTACGAAACCGGATGCAGCAACCTGCATAGTCAATACAGCAGCTGGCACAAGATATTGAACGGTTGACTCTGCTGTCATACTATACGTACGACCCACAACACAGAGAAGAAGAAAATGCATTGGAAACATTTGTAAAAGGCTGTTGGAGATTCACATCTTAGACAAACGCTCATATTAGCGGACAAACTCAACCTCAAAGACGCCGTTGCCTACAGTCATACATTCAAGTCAGCAAAGCAAGCCTCAAAGACAAAACTGCGACAAAACTGTTAAAAATGTTTATGTCAAAAAATAGTTCTAGAACAGAAGAGTGGAATCCAAAATCCTGGAGTTGTAAGGAAAAAAATATCAGCGACGAGATCGTAAACGGGATTATGGTGCGCCAAAATGCTGAAATTGTGGAACAAAAGGACATCTACGACGAGATTGCAAACACCGCTCTAGAAACAATTACTGCCGTCATCGTGCAGCAACATGGAACAAACAATAAGAGGGTGACAACGCATCACGACGGACTGCCTCAAACAAGGAGGCGGGAAACTATTTGACAGCCAAATTCGCGGGGCAGATGTTGGCTGGTAGAATTGACGCCCTTAGTACCACAATTAAAGTCTCCAGGCCGCACTGTAAAGAAACCTCCCACAACATTGCCAATGCTCTTTCCCGTCAACCCTGTTGCAAATACTGCAGTCGACTGGAAGAGAGAGTGCAGACAGAGGATGTGCGAAAAGTTGCGATTGAACGACATCGTCTACTGAATTCAAGAACATCGGAAGCAGCAGGCAAAAATGAAGATTGTTCATTTGGACAGACTGGCTCCATTCTATGCAGACGTTGCAACGAACTCTGTTTGGGATGAACAGAACTGAAAGGGGGCAGTATTATAACAGTCACAAATATATTCGCAAGAAGAAGAGTGTCGCTACGAACTCATACAGTTTGAGGAGAGACTAGAACCTTCCGACAGCAAGATATCTAGAATGTTCGAGAAGCTTTGGTAAAACGGGTATATAAAGGCATGCGAGATATTGAATTGTTGTTGTTGGAAAAAGATGGATTGTTAGTGTCGAAAGCTATGTTTGATATTTGATCCAGCGTTGTGTTTTATTGTGTTGTTTGCGATAAACGTTAGTGAATTGTTATTCGGAAAGCGATAGTTTCTGTACGTTAATTTGATAGTTTCTGATCATTAAATTTTATCAGTAAAATTAATTAGCGTTGATTATTGATTAATTAATTAATTAACTATTGTTTTTAAATAAATAAAACGATAATTTGTAAGTTATATTGCCTTTATTTTTCGCTGGGATTAAACTACTCGTCGTCGACTGGGACAGTTATAACACTATTATAAGTTTCAATTAGTTGCAACATTTCATTGGTGGTATTGAAAAAAATTTTCAGGTTCCAAGATATTGCTGCCATGTTTGAATTGCATCAGTATGACCCTCAGCATGAAACGCACAAACATTTTCACCACGAAACGCTCGTTGCTGATCCGTTCATTTCACAGAAACATTTCAAGGTTTTCGATATTGTTGCATCATATTTTTAATAACGGCATAATTTCAATAATATTAATTTTTTATTTTTTTTAAATATATTGCTTAATTGATTCAAAGTGATTCAAAACAAAAGGTAAGGTAATACTTTATTATTATTATTTATTTATTTAATATGAATTCTGAGAAATTATTAGGTGACAAAATAATGAAAGTAATTGTTCCTGAGATTTACAGGCTTTTCATGTGCGCCAATGCCTGCAGTTACGCCTTAGACAACTTTATTTATTACTTACTGTCATGAATATAAATTTTTCACTGAACGCATGTAATTGTTAACTTTCCAACTGTCTAAGGCACATAATTTCGCCCAGTGATATAATATCTACTTATTAGATATCTAATCCAGCTCAAACATTTATTGAAATAAAACTGGTATTTTTCAAAACTTTTAAATGACTAGGCCAATGCACAAATGTAATGACAATTTATCACCCAATTGTCGTTTTATATTCTGCCGATACACTATTTATTAATTGATTTTTAATACATACACGAATAATAGCGAGCTAACCTGAAAAAGTCTGACCGGCCTGACACGAATAGAGGGGACGACAGTTTGTCATTGATTGACCTGAAACTTGCATAATGTTTTTGCCAACCAGCGCCATAAAAAGCACGACAAAGTGACCACAGGAGAGTTTTCGTTTTGTCACTCTTGACGAACACATGGAAATTTTTCAGTATTTTTTTACCTTAACCTTGAAAAAACAATAAAAAATGTAATTGTTAAAATTAGTTAATATATGATAATGGTATTGGTTAATTTTAAGCTGCCTTTGTAATTTTTAAGTTTTATTAAATGATATATTATTTAAACTCCCCTGTGTTGTACGTTTTAACCAACGATTTTAATGGAAACAAATTTGAATAGCTTGCATTGCTAGCTCTGAATATCTGTTAAATTTAATCTTTATGATATCCAATGATAACTATGTTTGAAATATCTTCTGAATTTTTCATTGTGAGTGAGTTAGTCTACAGCAAAAATAAAAATCTGAACAATAAATCAAACGTGAACTAGATGTAAGCTCGCTGCAGCACTCACAACGTAGCATCCATCCATCCATCCATCATTTCTTCATAGGAACCAAGCACATCTTTTTAAATGCTTTTCATCTTCCATTGCCATCCAATATTATTCCTAACAAACATTTTTTTCCGTGCATCCATTAATATTTTAATTGCTATAAACAATTTGTGTGATGCCATAAAATTAAAATTCATGATGAAAATGTTGTTAGCGAGATGACAATTATTATATCATCAGCGAGATAATGACATAAATGCTATTTTCAAAAACTTAAAGTCCGAGCAACAAAAAAATTGAACGATGAAACAAGTGAAAGGCTTATCTCAAATTATTTATTGGTCGAAAACAAATCACAGTGCTAAAAGTATTTTATAGGATAAAAAACTGCCAACATACTCTAATCTGGTCAGATGGAGTTGATCTAACGTTCAATGCCCATCGTGCAACGTTAAGCAAATCAATATAAGGCCTTAGAAAGATACACGATTCGTCACAAGGAAATTCTAACAATAATTAGAAAAAACATAAAAAAAATGCGCAAATACAAAGGTCTTGATATTGGCCGACTTGGATTATGAAGATTGCCGCCCATTTCTGTGGTGAATCCGGATCTAGGGGGTAGGCCATGACGTTGTGAGCAGTATTGATATTAAAAGTCAGAAAAACTCAGTTATTGCACAGAATAACATCGTTTTATGTATAAAATGAACCAAAAATTGAAATAAGATAAAAAAAAGGTCGGCAGTGTAACGCTGGTCACACTACCATGAATTTTGTTGTTTTTCGGCTTCCCCTTCGTCAGAATTTTAAAATAAAAGATTAACATTTTTAACATTTCTCCACCCCCGTCAAAGTAATCGAGACCTGCAACTGGTTGCAACACTTTTCAAGCTGTTTCGTCCTGATGTTGTCCTAGTAAACGAAGACACAATTGAAGTGTTAGAATTAACAATATGCCACAAAACCACCAATCCTCATTCAAATCATAAAAATGATTACAAAAATTTTAAACTTTTAATTTAAACGTTTGACTTGCTTTTATAAAACTTTTAATTTATTTCTAGCAGATTTAATTTGGACAGATCATTTAAGAGATCAGAAATAGCCTAATAGACTCTTTTTATCTTTGTCCTACACAATATACCGCGACAGAAACGAGTGAACTCTATTTTCAATAACCAATGCTATCTATATGTACTCATATGAATAAATGACGAGCAAAATAGATTATTGTTGAATAATTTTACCTATTTTAATATAAGACATTATAATTGATTGAATTAAATTTTTTGTCATATATATATATATATATATATATATATATATATATATATATATATATATATATATATATATATATATATATATATATATGACTTGTTAAATTGCTAAAATTTAGATTAGATACGTTCTTTTAGTTTGACTTTTCCTAATGGGCTTCATTGATATCTTTAATTCAAGTAAATGTCCCACACGGCAATAAATCACTTTTGAACGTTTGCAGGCGATGAAGGTGCGGCGAAAAAAAAGCAAACTGACACATCAACGTTGTACGGTCTGCATTTAAATTTCGTTGCGATTTTATGATTCTGGCTCGGCGCAACGCACCCGACAGAGATTGAAGATAGATAAATGTTCAGCATTTGGTATGGAAAAATTTATGAACATTTTCTCCCGATATTTTTTTCGTCGACATCAATTCCATGTTACAGTCGGTGACTATTGAATGAATGTTTTGGCAGAATTTACAATTTTGAAAGTATAAATATAACAGCTGGACTATTTAGTAAATTTAAGTGACATGCTATGAATTATTAAGACACTATACACAACAGCCCAGTGGAAATTAAAATAAAAATTAAAAAATATCATCATTGTTTTGCATCTTTGATAATAATTTGTTGACCTGGATTAATAACAATCTAAACTCCCTTCTATGGTCACTGAGACGATGAAAACATATCCAACTTGGACTCCGGACCCTTAAAAAAACCCGAATCAAACTCCGCCTCCGGGTAAAAACTCCCGACTCTTGGTTCCGAATTCCAAAAAAGTTTAAAATTTTTGCGTCATAATTTCTTCTTATTGCCATTTCTAAATAAAAAATACTTTGAAAAACACTTGAAATCAGAAAATCTAATTGCAATAATTTCAGCTCAATGAAATATTTTTGTTAACCAATAATCCACCATGTTCATATTTGGACGCTTTATAGATAAATAATGATGATGATGATAATGATAATAATTTTTTCATTTTTTTTGTAATAATAGCAACCTCAATGATATAGCAAATCAATTTGACACAAAACTTTGCCAGCAGTACTAAATATTATTGTGTAATATAATTAATGTGAAGCCTATACACTTTGCTAGTGCGTTAAAAATCCACAAGACATTCAATTCATTCAGAACCGCTCGTCGTTTCTTACGCTGCCTACAACCTCTAGTTTGTCAATCAAGCAAATCAATAACATGTCGCAGTAAATGCTGCTAGTGTTTGTCATAGCTCAGGCATTTTATTGGAGGAAAAAAATCTATGGAAAAATAATTTTCTCTGTCAAGATGATGAATCTGGCCAATCAAGTAAGTTTTTGATAATGATAAACTAAAAAAATAAAAAGGAAATAATAGATGTATAAAAAGAAATAATTTCTTGAGCTGGAGAAACATTAGTCAATTTATGAAGCTTATACAGCAACGAGCTTTCAGCTAATTTGTCATCTTTTATCAAACACAGGGATTAATAATTTCACTTAGGAATTTACAATTCGTAGTGAGTGAGATGTCAACAAGTGACATTAACTTTATGTACTTTTTGACTTTCATAGAGAGTTAATGTTTGAATATTTGTTATTTATTTTGTTATTATCTATTAAATCGCTTCACAATTTTAATTTCATTCAATTTTTTTCTAATTACATCAAGATTGTAAGACCACCATCGCTTGCAAT